ATTAGATCAAGGTTCTCAACTCGCTCTCACGCTCGTCGCCGCCGTTACCGCCTTCGTCGCTACCGTTGCCAGCTTCGTCATCGTGCCTCGCCTCGCTTCGTCCGCTACCCTACCAAACTTAGTAGTCCCTTATTCGATCCCAGGGATCGCTGTAAGGAGTTGGGTCTATCGCCGCCTTCGCAGTCTTCGCCGCTCGCATCGCGCTCAGCTTGAGCACGCCGTCGTCCTCACCAACTACATCGAACGTAGTTCAGGCCGACTCTTGGTGGAGTACAGCCGCCTCCTTGGTCTAGAAGTCATCTATCGTGAGGACCGCTTGGACACTCTTCACTACACATACGAGCCCGCCTTCCAACACTTGCACTTCGCTCGTGACGGAAACGTACCCGCTGTTATCTGGGACCCATCGCAGTTATCCGTGGTTATCGGCCCGCATCGCTTACCTTCGCCTCCGCCCTCACCACTTCGCATCCCGCAGGCTATCGCCTTCAACTTCGAACCCGCCGCTTCGCCCACACCCGCTACACACCCCGAAGACTTCCCGCCCGAATTCTAAATCATGCCGTACGTTGACCCCGCCAATTACCCCGCGGATATTCCGGAGGGTGGCTGGCATGCGGACGTCGACGACGCTGACGACTTCCGTCTCCCGTCCGGCCTCGACACGGACCTCTTTCTCTATCGTACCCCGCGTACAGACGGCTCGCTCTTCTGGGTCGTAAAGGAGAATGCGCGCACGGCCGCGCGCTCACCCACTGCCGAGCAGCTGGCCGCAGCTATCGGCTTCTCCAAGGATCGCCTCATCCGCACTCTCCGGGCCGAGGTTGGCGCACTCCAGGCCCAGCCACCACAGCCGCAGGGCCCTCCGGGTACCGCTACGGCCGCCGCTCCTCGTCCCCAACAAGTACGCCTTCCCCTGCCGCACAGCTTCAGTGGCATACCCACCAAAGAGGGCGCGTACGACCCGGAGCCGCGCGACTTCACCGTCAGCTTGCACCATTACGTGGCCGCTCAGAGTCAGGAACTAGGAGTGCCCTTTGACGAAGATCGGAAGATCCGCATCTTCTCTAGCTTCCTTGAGCAGAACGCGGCCCGGTGGTATCATCAATTACTCGACGATCGCGACCGTGCCCGGCAGGGCGCTCAACCGTACACCGGCCCCCTGTCCTCATCAGATGCCCTCGTTCAGGCCTTCCTGCGCGAATATGAGGACGTCAACATCCGCGCCACAGCCAAGCACAAGATCCGCACCCTTCAGCAGGACGGCACGGCAGAAGCCCATGTACGCTTCTTCAAGGAGTACGCCATGCTCAGCGGCTATGGCGAGGAGGCGCTCATCGACTGGTTCAAATCAAGCCTCAAGGTCGCCCTGAAGGACAAGGTTAACGGGCAGGGCAAGCAGCGCCCGACCACGCTGGAGGGCTGGTATGAGGATGCCATCCTATTCGACCGGCAATATTGTGGGGATCAGCTGGATTGTGCGTTGGCGCGCAAGCCTTCGCAGCCGGCCACCAGCAACACATCCTCGCGCAACCAGTCCGCCGGCGCGAACAACAACACCGGTCGGCCTGCGGGTGGTTTGCAGCAGCAGCAGGCCCCGCGCAACGCCAATCAGTGGCAGCCGCGCAACGGCAACTGGCGCCCTTGGGGCGCTCCCACCCAGCAACAGCGCACACCGGCACCAGCGGCCAACACCGGCGTGGTCCCCATGGACATCGATGCGGCCAACGCGGCCATGGCGTGCTACCGCTGCAGTGAGAACCACCTGGCACGCAACTGCACGATGCCGACGGAGACTATTCGGCAGAAGTATGGCCGGGATCGCATGATCCCCTTCCCCGCTGGCTATCGGGCACGTGCCGTGACCTTCGCC